TATCCCAGGAAATATACTCACACATTTTATTTCTGAGACAAATAAAAAGCACATGCCAGAAAACAAATGGTTTAACCTAGGGGGACCCAACACTTCAACCGTCGATTCGGACGAAGCCCACTCACGTGTGGACGCTAAAGCGCTAACTTGCGCGTAAATTAGTTGATAGTGATATTAGACTGGCACGGAATCGACCGCACTCTCGCCCTCACCTCTCCTACGACCCTAGTGTCAAGACTGAGACAAGATGATCAAAGACAGGATCAGGCGCGGGTGAGCCTGCGCCTTCGCTAGCACTCATCCCTCCCCTCTCCATATGTGGATGGCATTTGTCATGGAATGCGCGTGCCAATAACGCCTGCTGTGTCCTGAGCTCACCACCGCGTTTGTCTAGCGCATAGCCCGTTGTACCTGCGCCGAATCCTTCGCAGTTGCGTCATGCGGTGGCCCAAAGTCGGTGACACTCGTGTTTGGGCTTTTAGCTAATTAATTTGCTATGAGTTTGGTGAATAACAGATCATTTCAATACTATCTTCGATCTAATGAAGTAGGTTACTTCCCGCACGAAGTAGCTGTGTTGTCATCCCGATAGACGTGTCAGTCAAGCAGAAAATTAGTTTTTCTTTCCGAGCCAGAATTAAATATCGATTAAATCTTAAGGTTGGTAAGTGTGATTTCTCAGAAGTAAAAGGCCCTCTAAGACTTCAAACGGTTGGTCTTAAACACTGCATTCCCAATAGCTATCCTCTGTGTGAGTTGCACATTTTTCCTAGAGTGCTTTAATTCCTTAGAGTTTATAGATTCACTTAAACGTCTGGTGTCTGTTTTAAAACATTCCTGACGCCTTCAACTTATTATACATTTAAGAAGAGCGTACATATTCTAAAACAGAAATCCCTGCCTGCAAAAAATCCCGATGAATCTTTTGTTGTCTGTTATCGATCGATAACATCACAAAGAGTGCAATAAATACGCTGCTTATAATTACTTCATGCCGTCTATGTAATGGAACAGCAAGTACATCAGAACTCCATGTCATGGAAATATCAAAAAATAAGTTTGAAATTGCACAAAATAAAGAACAGAAAGTGTCAGTTACCAAATCCTATGGAAAGCTTCCGTGGTTGTAACTGAGCATTATAGAATTATTACAGCGAAACTAAATCCCCAATACGATTCTAATACAAACAAAAAATCCTATGTTTTTAGTTTAGTATTCATTTGATGTAGCGATCGTAGGTAAATGAAAAATCTTTGTGAAAACTTCTGACTTTTTAAGTCGTTATAAAAACTCAACCCCTCATATAACAGGCTCGTTTTAGTCATTTATTCAAACAATAACGTCACCAGCGACTTTATAGTTCCTGTATATTTAAGTATATATGAAGTGATTTTCCAAAAATCTCAACACTTGCTTAGATCGCCGTTTGCTGAACTATATGCTACTTGCATATCATGCGGTCGCAAACTTTTTTTTCATTTGCATCTGGGCGAATTAAGAAAGGGCTCTTCTATATGTAAAGTACAGCGGCATCTCATTAATCTCAAACCTCGCTTGATTTCGTAAATGGAAAACCCAACTAGCATGTTGATGCCCATGCGGGCCGATTTTTTTAATGTCCAAATATAAAAGACCGGTCTTTTAAACTGAATCCATTCGTCGGAAATTGGAATGCAAAGTTTTTATTCCATTTTTCTTGATGTTCGGAGTTTTGCTTTTACTAGAATGATGGCTTGTTACGAGCCATGTCTATCGTCTGTGTCGGCGGAACATATAGATCTTGTGGAGCATGGAAGATGCCGCTACACATCTAGTGGTACCTTTCAGATTCAGTTGGTACCAGCTGCGGTGGTATGCGAATTAATCATTCCTACCTAGGAAAAGAACTGCAACAGCAACCATCCGCCACAGTTCATAAGTTAAGTAAACATTCAAGTAACTTTCGCATGAATGAAGCCTCCGACACAAGACACTCCCGCAAATTATTGCAATCTATAGTTCCTGGTCCGGAGAATATTACCTCAAGGACTGGAATATAAACATTATTTTCCAGGCCTTTTGCTTCAACCGTCGATTAATTATCTGAATTACTAGCAGACAAATAGATGTTTCGTTCCAGTGCTTGAAAAACACTTTTAGTAACACGATATTGAATTATGTTCCTTTTTTACTTTGTTTAATGTTTCTTTTGACCGCAATATATTTACGCTAGGTTCTGAATGCACAATATCGTATTAGCCTAAATCTACGAAATATACTTAATGGGGTTCTTACTTCCATAGCTTAAATCTGGGTTTAGCCAAACAAAAGGGCCACTTTCAGTCTTTTTTATGCGTGTGCGTGTGTAAACTGTAAATACATATGTGGTTAGCAGGCAGCCCAAATGCCAAAGTGATGACTCATAAACTTCCCGCAAAACCTCTGTTTATGCCTCGTCAACCTTCCACTCCCCGCTGCTGCAGTTAACACGGTCATTACTGGCCAACTGTCCGCCATCGTGATCCCCACCATCTAATATATTGCCGGGGGTCAGGATTCTGTAGACGACCTAGTTCAGGACAAGGTGAAGGCGTCTTGGTAACAGCGATGCTGAGTTTTTATTAGCTTTCCCCCCCCCAGCCC